ACAAAATTCCTCAAACAATTTACCAAAGAAAGTCTTTTCAAAAATGAGTTATCTCTCTTTGTACAGATTATATGGTTTAACATAGAACTCTAACATTAGTTATGGAGTTTTTTCATGGACCATAACTCTGGACTAAATCATCAGACTGAACAAAATTCGAACTTGATCTATAACTTGTCATGATAAAACTATATACCAAATATCAAATCAATATCTTCAAGAACGAAGAAAAAAAGTGTGGAAAGCTGAGTTGCCGGACTGACGGATGGACAGACGGACGGACGGACGGACAGACAGACGGACAGAGTGCAAACCTAAAGTCCCCTTCGACTTCGTCGGTAGGGGACTAATAATTATTTCATCAAAAATTTAATTCTAGGGAAAGGGCTTTAACTGAACAAAGAGAAAAGCTAAAATCATGAAAATTGAACTTGACCTGTAACTTGTCATGATAAATCAATAAACCAAATATCAAATCAATATCTTCAAGCATGAAGAAAAAAGTCTGGAAAACTGATTTGCCGGACTGACAGATGGACAGACAGACAGACGGACAGACGGACAGACAGACAGACAGAGTGCAAACCTAAAGTCCCCTTCGACTTCCTACGTAGGGGACTAAAAAGCGTTTCTATGATTAAAAATATCTACCAGTGATTTCTTTATAAAAATTTCAAGATGGAAAATGCTTTGTGTACTCTTTCAAATAAAGCCCCAAAAAGTATAGGTCACCGACCTTTCAAAAAAATTATGAGCAATTTTCATTTTTTTTCTCACATTTGTTTTCAAGAAAAGAGTTGTCATTCTTCAGAACATTAAATCTGACATCATAGTGCAAGTTTCCCACAGTTTTCGCAAATATAGCAAATTGGACGTTTGAAACCCACATTAAAAAAATTTTCAATAATAACAACAATATATTACTGCTTTATAATCCTGTAATACAAGAGATCACATTTATGTATCAGCATTTGTCATTCTGTTGTCATACACAATTAGCCTTCAGAAACACTGTCCGTTGAAAAGGTGCTCTTGAAATGTAAAATTGTTCGAAATCACCTTCTTCTCCACTTTAAAAAGGAAAGTTTGTTTTTGTCCCCAATCTCTGTTTGGCAAAATTATTGAAATAAAAAATAATAAAATGCTCCGCAGGGCGCAGCTTGATACGACCGCAGAGGTCGAACCCTGAACAGTTGGGGCAAGTATGGACACAACATTCAAGCTTGATACAGCTTTGCATTTGGATTGTGATTAAATATTTGACACAGCATAGGTTTCTGACACAGAATGAATGTGGTCTAAGAACTTAAAAATTTTAAATTGGACAATCACCTATTATGGTCCAATATCCAAAATCTAAATACATGGTTAGATTCAGCATATCAAAGAACCCCAAGAATTCAATTTTTGATGAAATCAAACAAAGTTTAATTTTGGACCCTTTTGACCTCAATGTGGACAAAGTTGATAACGGGGCCCAAAAATCAAAAATCTAAATACATGGTTAGATTCAGCATATCAAAGAACCCCATATATTCAATTTTTGTTGAAATCAAACAAAGTTTAATTTTGGACCCCGATTTGGACCAACTTGAAAACTGGGCCCATAATCAAAAATCTAAATACATGTTTAGATTCAGCATATCAAAGAACCCTAAGAATTCAATTTTTGTTAAAATCAAACCAAGTTTTATTTTGGACCCTTTGGACCTTAATGTAGACCAATTTGAAAACGGAACCAAAAATTAAGAATCTAAATACACAGTTAGATTCCGCATATCAAAGAACCCCAATAATTCAATTTTTGATGAAATCAAACAAAGTTTAATTTTGGATACTTTGGACCTCAATGTGGACCAATTTAAAAACGGGGCCCAAAATCCAAAAAACTAAATACACGGTTAGATTCAGCATATTAAAGAACCCCAAGAATTCAAGAATAAAACCCCATTGAAATTGGTCAAGAAATAAGCAATTTATATGAAGTATCTTCTTTTGCACAATACTGTGCAATTAAATATTTCTTGCTATTGCCAGTGTTCTCCCCAGATATTTTGGATAGCATCACATTTGGCGTAAAAAAGTCGCGTCGCGGTGATGCTCTATTTCCTTTATGGTATATATGTTTATATTGTTCAATTCATAACTGAGAATACAATTAAAATATAACCATGATAACAGTTGTTTCAGTTTATGTTTTCTATATTCATTTATAGTTAATGTACAGAATTATTGTTTTCCTCTTGGGCCATATAACAATATATGTGTGGTTCTAGCAGAGACATATAATACAATATATGGCTCTGGTTCTAGTTACCCTACCTACCCTACTTAATGAATGAGTGAATGGTTTATTATAGTGCAACCTTTATATATATGCAATACTAAATATCAAGTAAAAAAAGAGAAAGTATCATATAGCAATAAAATTTCAATTAAAAGAAAAAAATTTTCATGTCTAAAAATTCATTGTTTCATGGTACTAAATGAATTAGTCCCAGTTGTTTCTTTATATCAAGGTGATAGATATTTTTAACAAAGTTATCTAACAAATAGTCTGTTAATGCATAGTTTTCTCTTTTTGGTATATTTTTTTCTGTCTGCTGTGCCATTTGTGCATCTGTAGTTATTATCGTAAAAATGCGGATTTTTGTCATATCTGGTCCGGTTCCGATCGGTAGTTTACACAAAAGTAGTCAATGGCGGCCGAAGAAAAATTAACGAAAATAAACAATGTTTGATAAGAGATTGGGAACGAATGTGACGCTTTTGATGTATTAAATGGATGAAACATAAACTTAAGCCAACTTATTTAGCCCAAAACCGATATGTTCGCTCTCGATTAACAAGTAGTACCGGCGGAAGAGAAAGAAAGTAATTTTATGAAAGTTGTAAAAATAAACGACCAAACCTCATTTTTAAAGAGAAAAATCGTTTGTATCTTTGAATTTCCGTAATGCAAAACGTAGATTTCGAATTGTTTTATGACTACATTTTTTCCATGTCTTAATTTGCGATTGCAGACAGACCACGTGGTATTAATCATGTCACAAGTGTCAGCTTGGGGTATTCGTACCCAAACAGTTATCACCCAAAGGCAAAGGGCAATTAACACCTATTTAATCACTCTTAAATGCCTCTATTGTCCGATTTGAAGGGATTGCACTTAAAGGTGATATAATTTTTATGATCATACGCGGTAATTAGATGAAAGTTCAAAATTTAGGACATGGATTTACGATATAGAAACAAGAAAAATAGCATCCTCAAAATAATTATAGCGTCGCGGAAATTATTATAGCATCACGGGAAAAAATATAGCGTCGCGGTACCGCGACGCTAAAACGGCCTGGGGAGAACACTGTATTGCGCAATACTGTACAATTGACAATTTCTTGCTATTGCGCAATATTGTGCTATTGGATATTTCTTGCTATTGCGCAATACTGTGCAATTGAAGATTTCTTGCTATTGCGCAATACTGTGCAATTGAAGATTTCTTGCTATTGTGCAATACTGTGCAATTGAAAATTTCTTGCTATTGCACAATACTTATTATATAATAATTTACACATCCTGTTTAGTGTGTATCTCCTACCATATCATTATTATTTGCTTTTAAATATATATCAGAAATAACCAACTTAAAATGGAAAATTTAAAAAGAAAAAAAAAGGAAAAAAAGAAAACTAGAGGCTCTAAAGAGCCTGTGTCGCTCACCTTGGTCTATGTGCATATTAAACAAAGGACACAGATGGATTCATGACAAAATTGTGTTTTGGTGATGGTGATGTGTTTGTAGATCTTACTTTACTGAACATTCTTGCTCCTTACTATTATCTCTATCTATAATGAACTTGGCCCAGTAGTTACAGTGGAAAATACTTTGTAAAAATTTACAAAAATTTACAAAATTTATGAAAATTGTAAAAAATTGACTATAAAGGGCAATAACTCCTTAAGGGGTCAATTGACAATTTTGGTCATGTTGCCTTATTTGTAGATCTAACTTTGCTGTACATTATTGCTGTTAACAGTTTATCTCTATCTATAACAATATTCAAGATAATAACCAAAAGCTGCAAAGTTTTCTTAAAATTACCAATTCAGGGGCAGCAACCCAACAACGGGTTGCCTGATTGGTCTGAAAATTTCAGGGCAGATAGATCTTGACCTAATGAACAATTTTATACTTATCAGATTTGCACTAAATGCTTTGGTTTCAGAGATATGAGCCAAAAACTGCATTTTACCCTATGTACTATTTTTTAGCCATGTCGGCCATCTTGGTTCGCCGGCGGGGTCATCGGACACATTTTTTAAACTAGATACCCTAATGATGATTGTGGACAAGTTTGGTTAAATTTGTCTTAGTAGTTTCAGAGGAGAAGATTTTTGTAAAAGATTACAAAAATTTACGAAAAATGGTTAAAAATTGACTATAAAGGGCAATAACTCCTTAAGGGGTCAAATGACCATTTTGGTCAAGTTGACTTATTTGTAGATCTTACTTTGCTGAACATTATTGCTGTTTACAGTTTATCTCTATCTATAATAATGTTCAAGATAATAACCAAAAACGGCAAAATTTCCTTAAAATTACCAATTCAGGGGCAGCAACCCAACAACGGGTTGTCCGATTCATCTGAAAATTTCAGGGCAGATAGATCTTGACCTGATAAACAATTAAACCCCATGTCAGATTTGCTCTAAATGCTTTGGTTTCAGAGATATAAGCCAAAATCTACATTTTACCCCTATGTTCTATTTTTAGCCATGGCGGCCATCTTGGTTGGTTGGCCGGGTCACCGGACACATTTTTTAAACTAGATACCCCAATGATGATTGTGGCCAAGTTTGGTCAAATTTGGCCCAGTAGTTTCAGAGGAGAAGATTTTTGTAAAAGTTTACGGACGACGGACGCCAAGTGATGAGAAAAGCTCACTTGACCTTTCAGGTCAAGTGAGCTAAAAAAGAAAAAATAAAAAAAATCTCCCCCCCAAATTTTTTGAACCCCCTTATGATTCATCACCCCCAAATTCAATCCCAGCCTTCCCTTTGTGGTATGGTACCTTGCAGTACAATTTCAGAGAGATCCATTCACTTGAACACAAGTTATTGTCTGGAAACTAGAAAAATGTGTTTTTTGGCCCCTTTTTGGCCCCAAATTCCTAAACGTTTAGGGAAATTACCCCCAAACTCAAACCCAGCTTTCCCTTTGTGATATGGAACCTTGTAGTACAATTTCAGAAAGATCCATACACTTCCACACAAGCTATTTTCCTGAAACTAGAAAAATGCTTGATTTTTGCCCCTTTTTGGCCCCTAATTCCTAAAATTTTGAGGCAATTACCCCCATCATCAATGCCAGCCTTTCCTTTGTAGTATGGTACCTTGCAGTACAATTTCAGAGAGATCCATACACTTGAACACAAGTTATTGTCTGGAAACAAGAAAAATGCTTATTTTTGGCCCCTTTTTGGCCCCCAATTCCTAAACGTTTCGGCAATTACCCCCAAACTCAATTCCAGCTTTCCCTTTGTGATATGGAACCTTGAAGTACAATTTCAGAAAGATCCATACACTTACACACAAGTTATTGTCATGAAACTAGAAAAATGCTTGTTTTTTGCCCCTTTTTTGGCCCCTAATTCCTAAAATTTTGAGGCAATTACCCCCAAACTCAATCCCAGCCTTCCCTGTGTGATATGGAACCTTGTGGTACAATTTCAGAGAGATCCATACACTTGAACACAAGTTATTGTCTGGAAACTAGAAAAATGTGTTTTTTGGCCCCTTTTTGGCCCCTTATTCCTAAACGTTTTGGGCAATTACCCCCAAACTCAATTCCAGCTTTCCCTTTGTGATATGGAACCTTGTAGTACAATTTCAGAAAGATCCATACACTTACACACAAGTTATTGTCATGAAACTAGAAAAATGCTTGTTTTTTGCCCCTTTTTTGGCCCCTAATTCCTAAAATTTTGAGGCAATTACCCCCAAAATCAATCCCAGCATTCCTTTTGTGATATGGAACCTTGTGGTACAATGTCAGATAGATCCATACACTAACACACAAGTTATGTCTGGAAGTTACAAAAATGCTTATTTTTGGCCCCTAATTCCTTTACTGTTGGTACCATAACCCCCAACCTTCCTTTTGTGGTATTGAACCCTGTGGTAAAATTTCATAGAGATCCATTCACTTAAACTAAAGTTAGAGTGCGAAAACCAATGTGTCTTCGGACGACGACGACAACGATGCCAAAGTCATACCAATATACGACCACAAAAATTTTTTGGCGGTCGTATAAAAATGAAAGATGACAATAACTAACTTCTAGACTATTAGACTTTTACATTATCAGATTACATTTATGTGGGGTTTTTGTTACTTGTCACTTTAGAAGATTGCCCCAGCTCACTTTTCATTCTACTCCTGCGCCACTGTAGTATTGACTGACCAACAAAATACGGACGGACTACAGCATACCATAATACGTTCCGACTAAGACGGGCGTATAAAATCTACTCCATCTAGGTGGATTAATCATTTCTTAATATTTATAATCTAAGGAACTTGAAATGATAGATATAATCAAGTATTTAATTCTAAAATATTTAGATATAGAAAGATGTGGTATGAGTGCCAATGAGACAACTCTCCATCCAAGTTACAATTTATAAAAGTAAACCATCATAGGTCAAGGTACGGCCTTCAACACGGAGCATAGGCTCACACCGAACAGCAAGCTATAAAGGGCCCCAAAAAATTACTAGTGTAAAACCATTCAAACGGAGAAACCAACGGTCTAATCTATAACATGTATTTGGCCTAGTACTATAAAATATGATCTCGGTTATTACTCTTTCACAGGCCTTGAATAAATGAGACAGTAAATGCAAAATACAAATAAGCCAGAAAAGACGTCTAGTTTAGAATTAAACAACTTTCATTTGAACTGTTAGTTATAATTCTTCTGTTGAAAAATATAAAGTATTTCTCCAAACAATATAAATGTTAAAGATTTGATAAATTGTAATTTTTTGAAATTAAGAAATGACAACGTAAACAATTGCAGGTTTTAATGCGAATCAAGTTTGTTTTTTAATTTTTTCATGTCATTGTAGCTTCTTGAAAGTGAAACAATTAATGTTGGATTTTATTCCCAGAGCAATAATTTTTCTATTAAGTTAATATAACAACAGTTTAGTTTAAAAAACATTAAATTTTTGTTTTAATTTGCATTCAAGCATTGATTTCTTACAATTTTGCCTTAAGCTTCAGTGAGAGCAATCGAAATATCTAATCATTTTTCACTTCAGACAATTTTAAACAAAACAAATGACAAAATACAATGCATCTTTTTAGCTTTAAAAGATTTTTTTTTTCAATTTAGCAGCTTAAGTAAAATTGGACTTCATTACAAGATTGGACAACGTTTTACGGGAATCAATTAAACTCCTCAACCCAGGGAATAAGTAACTAGAGGCTCTAAAGAGCCTGTGTCGCTCACCTTGGTCTATGTGCATATTAAACAAAGGACACAGATGGATTCATGACAAAATTGTGTTTTGGTGATGGTGATGTGTTTGTAGATCTTACTTTACTGAACATTCTTGCTCCTTACTATTATCTCTATCTATAACGAACTTGGCCCGGTAGTTACAGTAGAAAATACTTTGTAAAAATTCACAAAAATTTACAAAATTTATGAAAATTGTAAATAAAATGCTCCGCAGGGCGCAGCTTGATACGACCGCAGAGGTTGAACCCTGAACAGTTGGGGCAAGTATGGACACAACATTCAAGCTTGATACAGCTTTGCATTTGGATTGTGAATAAATATTTGACACAGCATAGGTTTCTGACACAGAATGAATGTGGTCTAAGAACTTAAAAATTTTAAATTGGACATTCACCTATTATGGTCCAATATCCAAAATCTAAATACATGGTTAGATTCAGCATATCAAAGAACCCCAAGAATTCAATTTTTGATGAAATCAAACAAAGTTTAATTTTGGACCCTTTTGACCTCAATGTGGACAAAGTTGATAACGGGGCCCAAAAATCAAAAATCTAAATACATGGTTAGATTCAGCATATAAAAGAACCCCATATATTCAATTTTTGTTGAAATCAAACAAAGTTTAATTTTGGACCCCGATTTGGACCAACTTGAAAACTGGGCCCATAATCAAAAATCTAAATACATGTTTAGATTCAGCATATCAAAGAACCCTAAGAATTCAATTTTTGTTAAAATCAAACTAAGTTTAATTTTGGATCCTTTGGACCTTAATGTAGACCAATTTGAAAACGGAACCAAAAATTAAGAATCTAAATACATGGTTAGATTCGGCATATCAAAGAACCCCTATTATTCAATTTTTGATGAAATCAAACAAAGTTTAATTTTGGACCCTTTGGACCTCAATGTGGACAAATTTAAAAACAGGGCACAAAATCCAAAAACTAAATACACGGTTAGATCAGCATATTAAAGAACCCCAAGAATTCAAGAATAAAACCCCATTGAAATTGGTCAAGAAATAAGCAATTTATACGAAGTATCTTCTTTTGCACAATACTGTGCAATTAAATATTTCTTGCTATTGCGCAATACTGTACAATTGACAATTTCTTGCTATTGCGCAATATTGTGCTATTGGATATTTCTTGCTATTGCGCAATACTGTGCAATTGAAGATTTCTTGCTATTGCGCAATACTGTGCAATTGAAGATTTCTTAGTTATTGTGCAATACTGTGCAATTGAAAATTTCTTGCTATTGCACAATACTTATTATATAATAATTTACACATCCTGTTTGGTGTGTATCTCCTACCATATCATTATTATTTGCTTTTAAATATAAATCAGAAATAACCAACTTAAAATGGAAAATTTTAAAAGAAAAAAAAAAGGAAACAAAAAAAAATCCCCCCCCCCCAATTTTTTGAACCCCCTTATGATTCATCACCCCCAAACTCAATCCCAGCCTTCCCTTTGTGGTATGGTACCTTGCAGTACAATTTTAGAGAGATCCATACACTTGAACACAAGTTATTGTCTGAAAACTAGAAAAATGTGTTTTTTGGCCCCTTTTTGGCCCCAAATTCCTAAACATTTATGGCAATTACCCCCAAACTCAAACCCAGCTTTCCCTTTGTGATATGGAACCTTGTAGTACAATTTCAGAAAGATCCATACACTTACACACAAGTTATTGTCCTGAAACTAGAAAAATGCTTGTTTTTTGCCCCTTTTTTGGCCCCTAATTCCTAAAATTTTGAGGCAATTACCCCCATCATCAATCCCAGCCTTCCCTTTGTGGTATGGTACCTTGCAGTACAATTTCAGAGAGATCCATACACTTGAACACAAGTTATTGTCTGGAAACTAGAAAAATGCTTATTTTTGGCCCCTTTTTGGCCCCCAATTCCTTAATGTTTCGGCAATTACTCCCAAACTCAATTCCAGCTTTCCCTTTGTGATATGGAGCCTTGTAGTACAATTTCAGAAAGATCCATACACTTACACACAAGTTATTGTCATGAAACTAGAAAAATGCTTGTTTTTTGCCCCTTTTTTGGCCCCTAATTCCTACAATTTTGAGGCAATTACCCCAAAAATCAATATCCAGCATTCCTTTTGTGATATGGAACCTTGTGGTACAATGTCAGAGAGATCCATACACTAACACACAAGTTATGTCTGGAAGTTACAATAAAATGCTCCGCAGGGCGCAGCTTGATACGACCGCAGAGGTCGAACCCTGAACAGTTGGGGCAAGTATGGACACAACATTCAAGCTTGATACAGCTCTGAATTTGGATTGTGATTAAATATTTGACACAGCATAGGTTTCTGACACAGAATGAATGTGGTCTAAGAACTTAAAAATTTTAAATTGGACATTCACCTATTATGGTCCAATATCCAAAATCTAAATACATGGTTAGATTCAGCATATCAAAGAACCCCAAGAATTCAATTTTTGATGAAATCAAACAAAGTTTAATTTTGGACCCTTTTGACCTCAATGTGGACAAAGTTGATAACGGGGCCCAAAAATCAAAAATCTAAATACATGGTTAGATTCAGCATATAAAAGAACCCCATATATTCAATTTTTGTTGAAATCAAACAAAGTTTAATTTTGGACCCCGATTTGGACCAACTTGAAAACTGGGCCCATAATCAAAAATCTAAATACATGTTTAGATTCAGCATATCAAAGAACCCTAAGAATTCAATTTTTGTTAAAATCAAACTAAGTTTAATTTTGGATCCTTTGGACCTTAATGTAGACCAATTTGAAAACGGAACCAAAAATTAAGAATCTAAATACATGGTTAGATTCGGCATATCAAAGAACCCCTATTATTCAATTTTTGATGAAATCAAACAAAGTTTAATTTTGGACCCTTTGGACCTCAATGTGGACAAATTTAAAAACAGGGCACAAAATCCAAAAACTAAATACACGGTTAGATCAGCATATTAAAGAACCCCAAGAATTCAAGAATAAAACCCCATTGAAATTGGTCAAGAAATAAGCAATTTATACGAAGTATCTTCTTTTGCACAATACTGTGCAATTAAATATTTCTTGCTATTGCGCAATACTGTACAATTGACAATTTCTTGCTATTGCGCAATATTGTGCTATTGGATATTTCTTGCTATTGCGCAATACTGTGCAATTGAAGATTTCTTGCTATTGCGCAATACTGTGCAATTGAAGATTTCTTAGTTATTGTGCAATACTGTGCAATTGAAAATTTCTTGCTATTGCACAATACTTATTATATAATAATTTACACATCCTGTTTGGTGTGTATCTCCTACCATATCATTATTATTTGCTTTTAAATATAAATCAGAAATAACCAACTTAAAATGGAAAATTTTAAAAGAAAAAAAAAAGGAAACAAAAAAAAATCCCCCCCCCAATTTTTTGAACCCCCTTATGATTCATCACCCCCAAACTCAATCCCAGCCTTCCCTTTGTGGTATGGTACCTTGCAGTACAATTTTAGAGAGATCCATACACTTGAACACAAGTTATTGTCTGAAAACTAGAAAAATGTGTTTTTTGGCCCCTTTTTGGCCCCAAATTCCTAAACATTTATGGCAATTACCCCCAAACTCAAACCCAGCTTTCCCTTTGTGATATGGAACCTTGTAGTACAATTTCAGAAAGATCCATACACTTACACACAAGTTATTGTCCTGAAACTAGAAAAATGCTTGTTTTTTGCCCCTTTTTTGGCCCCTAATTCCTAAAATTTTGAGGCAATTACCCCCATCATCAATCCCAGCCTTCCCTTTGTGGTATGGTACCTTGCAGTACAATTTCAGAGAGATCCATACACTTGAACACAAGTTATTGTCTGGAAACTAGAAAAATGCTTATTTTTGGCCCCTTTTTGGCCCCCAATTCCTTAATGTTTCGGCAATTACTCCCAAACTCAATTCCAGCTTTCCCTTTGTGATATGGAGCCTTGTAGTACAATTTCAGAAAGATCCATACACTTACACACAAGTTATTGTCATGAAACTAGAAAAATGCTTGTTTTTTGCCCCTTTTTTGGCCCCTAATTCCTACAATTTTGAGGCAATTACCCCAAAAATCAATATCCAGCATTCCTTTTGTGATATGGAACCTTGTGGTACAATGTCAGAGAGATCCATACACTAACACACAAGTTATGTCTGGAAGTTACAATAAAATGCTCCGCAGGGCGCAGCTTGATACGACCGCAGAGGTCGAACCCTGAACAGTTGGGGCAAGTATGGACACAACATTCAAGCTTGATACAGCTCTGAATTTGGATTGTGATTAAATATTTGACACAGCATAGGTTTCTGACACAGAATGAATGTGGTCTAAGAACTTAAAAATTTTAAATTGGACATTCACCTATTATGGTCCAATATCCAAAATCTAAATACATGGTTAGATTCAGCATATCAAAGAACCCCAAGAATTCATTTTTTGATGAAATCAAACAAAGTTTTATTTTAGACCCTTTTGACCTCAATGTGGACAAAGTTGATAACGGGACCCAAAAATCAAAAATCTAAATACATGGTTAGATTCAGCATATCAAAGAACCCCATATATTCAATTTTTGTTGAAATCAAACAAAGTTTAATTTTGAACCCCGATTTGGACCAACTTGAAAACTGGGCCCATAATCAAAAATCTAAAAACATGTTTAGATTCAGCATATCAAAGAACCCTAAAAATTCAATTTTTGTTAAAATCAAACTAAGTTTAATTTTGGACCCTTTGGACCTTAATGTAGACCAATTTGAAAACGGAACCAAAAATTAAGAATCTAAATACACGATTAGATTCGGCATATCAAAGAACCCCAATAATTCAATTTTTGATGAAATCAAACAAAGTTAAATTTTGGACCCTTTGGACCTCAATGTGGACCAATTTAAAAACGGGGCCCAAAATCCAAAAACTTAATACATGGTAAGATTCAGCATATTAAAGAACCCCAAGAATTCAAGAATAAAACCCCATTGAAATTGATCAAGAAATAAGCAATTTATACGAAGTATCTTCTTTTGCACAATACTGTGCAATTGAATATTTCTTGCTATTGCGCAATACTGTACAATTGACAATTTCTTGCTATTGCGCAATATTGTGCTATTGGATATTTCTTGCTATTGCGCAATACTGTGCAATTGAAGATTTCTTGCTATTGCGCAATACTGTGCAATTGAAGATTTCTTGCTATTGTGCAATACTGTGGAATTGAAAATTTCTTGCTATTGCACAATACTTATTATATAATAATTTACACATCCTGTTTGGTGTGTATCTCCTACCATATCATTATTATTTGCTTTTAAATATAAATCAGAAATAACCAACTTAAAATGGAAAATTTTAAAAGAAAAAAAAAGAAAAAAAAAATCCCCCCCCCAAATTTTTTGAACCCCCTTATGATTCATCACCCCCAAACTCAATCCCAGCCTTCCCTTTGTGGTATGGTACCTTGCAGTACAATTTCAGAGAGATCCATACACTTGAACACAAGTTATTGTCTGGAAACTAGAAAAATGCTTATTTTTGGCCCCTTTTTGGCCCCCAATTCCTATACGTTTAGGGCAATTACCCCCAAACTCAATTCCAGCTTTCCCTTTGTGATATGGAACCTTGTAGTACAATTTCAGAAATATCCAAACACTTACACTCAAGTTATTGTCATGAAACTAGAAAAATGCTTGTTTTTTGCCCCTTTTTTGGCCCCTAATTCCTAAAATTTTGAGGCAATTACCCCCATAATCAATTACAGCCTTCCCTTTGTGATATGGAACATTGTGGTACAATGTCAGAGAGATCCATACACTTACACACAAGTTATTGTCTGGAAGTTACAAAATGCTTATTTTTGGCCCCTTTTTGGCCCCTAATTCCTTAACTATTGGTACCATAACCCCCAAAATCAATCCCAACCTTCCTTTCGTGGTATTGAACCTTATGGTAAAATTTCATGGAGATCCATTCACTTAAACTAAAGTTAGAGTGCGAAAACCAATGTGTCTTCGGACGACGCCGGACGACGACGACGACGACGACGACGACGACAACGACGACGACGACGACAACGACGACGACGACAACGACGACGACGCCAACGTCATACCAATATACGACCAAAAAATTTTCAATTTTTGCGGTCGTATAAAAATGCTTATTTTTGGCCCCTTTTTGGCCCCTAATTCCTTTACTGTTGGTACCATAACCCCCAAAATCAATCCCAACCTTCCTTTTGTGGTATTGAACCTTGTGGTAAAATTTCATAGAGATCCATTCACTTAAACTAAAGTTAGAGTGCGAAAACCAATGTGTCTTCGGACGACGCCGGACGTCGACGACGACGACAACGACGCCAACGTCATACCAATATACGACCACAAAAATTTTTTTGCGGTCGTATAAAAATTGACTATAAAGGGCAATAACTCCTTAAGGGGTCAATTGACAATTTTGGTCATGTTGCCTTATTTGTAGATCTAACTTTGCTGTACATTATTGCTGTTAACAGTTTATCTCTATCTATAACAATATTCAAGATAATAACCAAAAGCTGCAAAATTTTCTTAAAATTACCAATTCAGGGGCAGCAACCCAACAACGGGTTGCCTGATTGGTCTGAAAATTTCAGGGCAGATAGATCTTGACCTAATTAACAATTTTATTCTCATCAGATTTGCTCTAAATGCTTTGGTTTCAGAGATATGAGCCAAAAACTGCATTTTACCTTATGTACTATTTTTTAGCCATGTCGGCCATCTTGGTTCACGGGCGGGGTCATCGGACACATTTTTTAAACTAGATACCCTAATGATGATTGTGGACAAGTTTGGTTAAATTTGTCTTAGTAGTTCCAGAGGAGAAGATTTTTGTAAAAGATTACAAAAATTTACGAAAAATGGTTAAAAATTGACTATAAAGGGCAATAACTCCTTAAGAATCTATAATAATGTTCAAGATAATAACCAAAAACAGCAAAATTTCCTTAAAATTACCAATTCAGGGGAAGCAACCCAACAACGGATTGTCCGATTCATCTGAAAATTTCAGGGCAGATAGATCTTGACCTGATAAACAATTTTATCCTCATCAGATTTGCTCTAAATGCTTTGGTTTCAGAGATATGAGCCAAAAACTGCATTTTACCTTATGTACTATTTTTTAGCCATGTCGGCCATCTTGGTTCACGGGCGGGGTCATCGGACACATTTTTTAAACTAGATACCCTAATGATGATTGTGGACAAGTTTGGTTAAATTTGTCTTAGTAGTTTCAGAGGAGAAGATTTTTGTAAAAGATTACAAAAATTTACGAAAAATGGTTAAAAATTGACTATAAAGGGCAATAACTCCTTAAGAATCTATAATAATGTTCAAGATAATAACCAATAAAATGCTTCGCTGGGCGCAGCTTGATACGACCGCAGAGGTCGAACCCTGAACAGTTGGGGCAAGTATGGACACAACATTCAAGCTTGATACAGCTCTGAATTTGGATTGTGATTAAATATTTGACACAGCATAGGTTTCTGACACAGAAAGAATGTGGTCTAAGAACTTCAATTTTTTTAATTTACCTATTATGGTCCAATGCCCAAAATCAAAATACATGGTTAGATTCAGCATATCAAAGAACCCCATATATTCAAATTTTGTTGAAATCAAACAAAGTTTAATTTTGGACCCCAACTTGGACCAACTTGAAAACTGGTCCCATAATCAAAAATCTAAACACATGTTTAGATTCAGCATATCAAAGTACCCCAAGTTTTCAATTTTTGTTAAAATCAAACTAAGTTTAATTTTGGACCCTTTGGACCTTAATGTAGACCAATTTAAAAAACGGAACCCAAAATTAAAAATCTAAAAACACGGTTAGATTTGGCATATCAAAGAACCCCAATAATTCAATTTTTGATGAAATCAAACAAAGTTTAATTTTGGACCCTTTTGACCTCAATATGAACCAATTTGATAGCGGGCCCACAAAATAAAAAATCTAAATACATGGTAAGATTCAGCATATCAAAGAACCCCATATATTCAATTTTTTTTGAAATCAAACAAAGTTTAATTTTGGACCCCAATTTGGACCAACTTGAAAACTGGGCCAAAAATCTAAAATCTAAATACATGTTTAGATTCAGCATATCAAAGAACCCCATATATTCAATTTTTGTTGAAATCAAACAAAGTTTAATTTTGGACCCCAACTTGGACCAACTTGAAAACTGGTCCCATAATCAAAAATCTAAACACATGTTTAGATTCAGCATATCAAAGAACCCCAAAAATTCAATTTTTGTTAAAATCAAACTAAGTTTAATTTTGGACCCTTTGGACCTTAATGTAGACCAATTTAAAAAACGGGACCCAAAATTAAAAATCTAAATACACGGTTAGATTTGGCATATCAAAGAACCCCAATAATTAAATTTTTGATGAAATCAAACAAAGTTTAATTTTGGACCCTTTTGACCTCAATATGAACCAATTTGATAGCGGGCCCACAAATAAAAAATCTAAATACATGGTAAGATTCAGCATATCAAAGAACCCCATATATTCAATTTTTGTTGAAATCAAACAAAGTTTAATTTTGGACCCCAATTTGGACCAACTTGAAAACTGGGCCAAAAATCTAAAATCTAAATACATGTTTAGATTCAGCATATCAAAGAACCCCATATATTCAATTTTTGTTGAAATCAAACAAAGTTTAATTTTGGACCCCAACTTGAAAACTGGGCCCATAATCAAAAATCTAAACACATGTTTAGATTCAGCATATCAAAGAACCCCAAGAATTCAATTTTTGTTAAAATCAAACTAAGTTTAATTTTGGACCCTTTGGACCTTAATGTAGACCAATTTAAAAACGGGACCCAAAATTAAAAATCTAAATACACGGTTAGATTTGGCATATCAAAGAACCCCAATAATTCAATTTTTGATGAAATCAAACAAAGTTTAATTTTGGACCCTTTTGACCTCAATATGAACCAATTTGATAGCGGGTCCACAAATAAAAAATCTAAATACATGGTTAGATTCAGCATATCAAAGAACCCCAAGAATTCAATTTTTGATGAAATCAAAGAAAGTTTAATTTTGGACCCTTTTGACCTCAATGTGGACAAAGTTGATAATGGGGCCCAAAAATCAAAAATCTAAATACATGGTTAGATTCAGCATATCAAAGAACCCCATATATTCAATTTTTGTTGAAATCAAACAAAGTTTAATTTTGGACCCCGATTTGGACCAACTTGAAAACTGGGCCCATAATCAAAAATCTAAATACATGTTTAGATGCAGCATATCAAAGAACCCTAAAAATTCAATTTTTGTTAAAATCAAACTAAGTTTAATTTTGGACCCTTTTGACCTTAATGTAGACCAATTTGAAAACGGAACCAAAAATTAAGAATCTAAATACACGGTTAGATTCGGCATATCAAAGAACCCCAATAGTTCAATTTTTGATGAAATCAAACAAAGTTAAATTTTGGACCCTTTGGACCTCAATGTGGACCAATTTAAAAACGGGGCCCAAAATCCAAAAACTTAATACTTGGTTAGATTCAGCATATTAAAGAACCCCAAGAATTCAAGAATAAAACCCCATTGAAATTGATCAAGAAATAAGCAATTTATACGAAGTATCTTCTTTTGCACAATACTGTGCAATTGAATATTTCTTGCTATTGTGCAATACTGTACAATTGACAATTTCTTGCTATTGCGCAATATTGTGCTATTGGATATTTCTTGCTATTGCGCAATACTGTGCAATTGAAGATTTCTTGCTATTGCGCAATACTGTGCAATTGAAGATTTCTTGCAATTGTGCAATACTGTGCAATTGAAAATTTCTTGCTATTGCACAATACTTATTATATAATAATTTACACATCCTGTTTGGTGTGTATCTCCTACCATATCATTATTATTTGCTTTTAAATATTAATCAGAAATAACCAACTTAAAATGGAAAATATTAAAAGAAAAAAAAAAAGGAAAAAAAGAAAAAAAAAGAAAAAAAAAAAATCCCCCCCCCAAATTTTTTGAACCCCCTTATGATTCATCACCCCCAAACTCAATCCCAGCCTTCCCATTGTGGTATGGTACCTTGCAGTACAATTTCAGAGAGATCCATACACTTGAACACAAGTTATTGTCTGGAAACTAGAAAAATGCTTATTTTTGGCCCCTTTTTGGCCCCCTATTCCTAAACGTTTCGGGCAATTACCCACAAACTCAATTCCAGCTTTCCCTTTGTGATATGGAACCTTGTAGTACAATTTCAGAAATATCCAAACACTTACACACAAGTTATTGTCATGAAACTAGAAAAATGCTTGTTTTTTGCCCCTTTTTTGGCCCCTAATTCCTAAAATTTTGAGACAATTACCCCCAAAATCAATTACAGCCTTCCCTTTGTGATATGGAACCTTGTGGTACAATGTCAGAGAGATCCATACACTTACACACAAGTTATTGTCTGGAAGTTACAAAAATGCTTATTTTTGGCCCCTTTTTGGCCCCTAATTCCTTAACTGTTGGTACCATACCCCCCAAAATCAATCCCAACCTTCCTTTCGTGGTATTGAACCTTATGGTAAAATGTCATGGAGATCCATTCACTTGAACTAAAGTTAGAGTGCGAAAACCAATGTGTCTTCGGACGACGCCGGACGACGACGACGACGACGACGACGACGACGACGACGACGACGACGACGCCAACGTCATACCAATATACGACCAAAAAATTTTCAATTTTTGCGGTCGTATAAAAACAGCAAAATTTCCTTAAAATTACCAATTCAGGGGAAGCAACCCAACAACAGGTTGTCCGATTCATCTGAAAATTTCAGGGCAGATAGATCTTGACCTGATAAACAATTTTACCCAATGTCAGATTTGCTCTAAATGCTTTGGTTTCAGAGATATAAGCCAAAATCTACATTTTACCCCTATGTTCTATTTTTAGCCATGACGGCCATCTTGGTTAGTTGGCCGGGTCACCGGACACATTTTTTAAACTAGATACCCCAATGATGATTGTGGCCAAGTTTGGTCAAATTTGGCCCAGTAGTTTCAGAGGAGAAGATTTTTGTAAAAGTTAACGACGACGGACGACGATGACGACGGACGACGGACGCCAAGTGATGAGAAAAGCTCACATGGCCCTTTGGGCCAGGTGAGCTAAAAATAATAAATGTGGATAGTGTCCACATGTGGACACAGATGATGCCCCCGCTTGCATATCATATAGTTATAAAGGGACATAACTGAAGAACGGTAAAAGTGACGCTACCCAAATTTGAACTTGATCTGAGTTTTGTGGTAATAAGCATTGTGTGTAAGTCTCATAACATTTGGTTGAGGCTAACTTAAGTAGAGAACAGAAACTAAAAATTCAGCAATTTTTCTATTTGTAAACACGCATAACTCTAGAACGGTTGTGTATAAGTTTTACAACATTTGGTTGAGACAAACTAAAAAATTCAGCAATTTTTATGTTTATAAAGGGACATAACTCTAGAATGGTAAAAGTGTTGCCACCTAATTTCGTACTTAATCTGTATTATATAGTAATAAGCATTGTGTATAAGTTTCATAACATTTGGTTGAGGCAAACTCAAGTTAGAGAACTGAAACAAAAAAATTGTACTTGATCCTTACTGAGTTTTGTGGTAATGAATATTGTGTATAGGTTTCATAATGTTTGGCTGGGGAAAACTTCAGTTACAGAATGGAAACTAAAAAATTTTGCAATCTTTCTATTTATAAAGGGGCATAACTCAATAATGGTTAAAGTGACACTACCCAAATTCAACTTGATCTGTGTTTTATCAGTGGAAGTCAAAATTAAACATTGCATTGTATAAAGCATTGATTGTAGTTGATTCAACTATAATCATGGTCAAAGGAAGATAACTCCAATTTTAAAAATATATTATATAAACTTGATATTTAGAAGAAAAATAAAAATTTTGCAATTTTTCCTTTTATAAAGGGGCATAACTCTAGATCGGTTAAAGTGACACCACCAAAATTCAAACTTGATCTGTGTTTTGTGGTAATAAGCATTGTGTATAAGTTTCATAACATTTGGTTGAGGCAAACTTAAGTTAGAGAACGGAAACTAAAAATTTTGCAATTTTTCCTTTTATAAAGGGGCATAACTCTAGATCGGTTAAAGTGACACCACCAAAATTCAAACTTGATCTGTGTTTTGTGGTAATAAGCATTGTGTATAAGTTTCATAACATTTGGTTGAGGCAAACTTAAGTTAGAGAACGGAAACTAAAAATTTTGCAATATTTCCTTTTATAAAGGGGCATAACTCTAGATCGGTTAAAGTGACGCCACCAAAATTCAAACTTGATCTGTGTTTTGTGGTAATAAGCATTGTGTATAAGTTTCATAACATTTGGTTGAGGCAAACTCAAGTTAGAGAACGGAAACCAATTTCGGGACGTACGTACAGACGGACAAGGGTAAAACTTAATGCCCCCTCCGCTACGGCGGGGGCATAAAAAGTGGTGCTAGCATAGATCAAAACTACTTGAACCCATTTTTTTTAACAGCCTGAATTGAGCGTTAGTAAATTATAGGTTACCTGTACACACATAATCATTTTCAACATTTGTAGTTGAATGCTTAATGTCAAAGTTATAGGTAGTGTAGTTTCTTTTGTGTTCATTTTTGTTTAATTTTCACTATTCGAGGCACACCCGGTTCTCTTGACAAAACATATTTTGACATGTAAATCGTATTCGAATCCGTGAAATACGCGAAAGGGGACGTTCTAATCTGCCTCTTTTTGCAGAGCTGGAAACAACTTCATAGAGTTTTAATGTCATAATAAAGTTGCGTGAGCTAATGTGCACAAACAATAGGCTGTTTGGTCTTTAAAACATAATTTTGTTACTGATGACATCGGTAATCATAGAATATTGAACTCTTAACTTTTTGTTACTTTCTGTAGGAAATATTACGTTGCTATACAATAATGCACATTACTATCATCAGTTTAATACCAAGGATGTTAATATATCAAAGGCAACACTGCTTGTCATTTACATATATACCTTTAAAATTTCTATGATTTTTAACTTTGTGTCCATGACAACTGTATCTACTTCTTCTTCTGACTTTTTTGGTGAAATAACTTCTGATATCATGGACTTATCTTGATCTGGAAATAATTCCAAAATACACTTTCATACAATCCAGATAATATTTCTGATATCTGATTTGATAACATACTGTTATCTATAAAAGCAAAGTTCTTTTTACTCCTCCACTTGTCTCCAAAAAACCATTAAATTCTAAAGAGTGTGAATCACAAGTTTTCCTTGCATATAACAAAACTGATGCATACACTGTTTCTGGAGTCAGCAGGAGAAATATGAAGTTTTTTTTCAAAATTCTAAGTAAACTTTGGTACCACAAAAATACACCCATTATGGAAATAATGTCTACCTGTCTATCCTACAATATTACAGTGACAGGCTGCTGCTGCTGCAGATTGCTCAACTTTTCATACATGTATAAAATCCTTGGAAGTTTTTGGTAAGTTAGCCTCTCAGCATAGACCTGTTATTAAGGTATCCAATACTACTCAAATGATAACATTATGTCAGATGCAATCAAATGCTTATAGTAGATAATATTTTTTATTTTTTAGTAATAGAGCATACCAAGATACAGTAGTTATGACACTGCTGTTGAGCTAAAATCTGGATCTTCATAAAAATCATTTGCTCTATGAAGTACAGTTGTCTGTTGTAATGGATTAAAATGTTAACCAATTTGCTTCCAAAATGTCAATTCTTTTTTAGTTTTATGAAGAGCTCTTTCAAATAGAATAAGAATTTCCCCCACATGTAGTCCAATTGCAAAAAGTTTGTGAAAGTAAAGACAAACTTGACCTTTGAGTTGTCATTATACTCTCATGTGCCAAAAATCATCTTAAGATCTGCAGTCATTAGAAAAGTCTGGAGAAGTGCATTTTTCATGAAATTTCTTTTTAAAGTACTTGCCCTTAATTCTGCAAAATGTAAACTTGATAATTAATGTAAGTCATTATTATACACTTATATATCAAAAGTAAGAACAAAATGTCCTGTTCACTGTTTAATTGCAGAGAGACAGAATGAAGGATGATGGTAACACTTTATTCCGAACCACTTAATTGTGGAAGCATAAAAAAACAAATAAATGTTGAAACCAAAATTGCTCTGGTAACACTAGGTAAAAATATACGTCAATTCACCTGAATTAAGCTGCTTCACACAAGGAATATTGATTTTAATGAACAATACTGAAATCACACCACTAGATAAAATTCAAACATTATAGACAAACTATAAGAAAACTAGTTAAAACTTGAATGTCATATGGTGTTTACAGTTTTCTTACCTTCACCTGTTGCAGTAGTCATAGCAACAGGAGTTATATGTTTCTCAGGTACATAATCTAAGATACTAAGCAGAGTTTTCGTCAGTCTCAATAAATCACTAAAGGAGTAAAATCCAAAATATATCAACTGTTTGGCTAAATTCACAACCTACAATATGAAAACACAAATATTTATTTGTTGAAGTACAAGAAACAAAGTTAACACACTTGATATTAATAATATTACTAATTTTGGTAGTTTAACAGTTGTTCTATTAAATACATAAATACAATAGAAACAAATTCTATAAGATTACAATCTTTCAAAACTGGTAGGAAAAGATATAAGCAATGCAGAAAATTGTTCAACTATTAGAGATATATAATTAAGTAACTGAAAATCTAGAATTTCATTGTTCAAATTAAGAAGAACATGCTTCTTTATTTGGGAAATGGAACTATCTTTGATTGCACTTTCTTTTTGTACTAATATATTCAATCTAAATGTGACAAAACAGAAGCCTTCTGTAATTACAATTTAAACATCCATCCAATGTAGAAGGTAATAATGGTCCAAAGGTTAACAAAGGATAAAACAATCAGATGTGCATCTTCAACAAATTGATGGTGATTGGTTTAAGCAAAATAGTTACATGTGCAAAAAAATGTATTTCTGTCTTTGTGAAACATAACAGTCAACCAACTTGTGATGGCATCCATTAAATTTTCAAAGAGTTGATTTTAACTTCATCACCTTTAACTCTTGGTTTAAAAGCTACAATGTAAGTAGTAGCCCTCTATCAAGGAAATCTTGACAGGTAATGCAAGCTCTGGAATATCTTATCAAGTGGGAGATATATACTCCATATGTAGGCACTATTGAAATCATCTCATATGTCATAAAGTTTTGTTCTCAAGTGACCCTCATTGACAATTCCAGAAGAAAAGTCAAGATATGAGACAGACTTAACTGTATCTGTTGTAATTCCTTTATTTCAAGTTGGAAAGATGCGTTCAACATAGTCACCACACTTTGAACTATTTATTTAGAGGACATCATTTATATAGTGGAATGTGAAGTTAAAGGCAAACGCTAGCTTCTTTTTCATTTTTCCAAAGAAGCTACTATATGAAGTCTGCCTCATATAAATAAAGGAACAAGTTGTCAAGAAGAGTTGGTTCCCATAGGAATACTAATTGTTTGTTGAAAATCATGTCCTTCAAATGTAACAAATTTGTTGTCGATCAAGCGTTTTGATAATGTCAGTTTCACAGAAATTTTGTTTGAAGCCAAGTGTTTTTTTTTTTTTTTACAAAGTACAGTTTATCCCTCCTTTAGAAAAGCTACTCTATTCATTTTTAAGAAACAAAATAGGACCAATTCTTTCAGTTTGGAATGGGAAATACTTGTGTAAAGGTAGAATAGTTGAATACTTAAATACTATTGAAAGAGGAAAGAGACTTAGAATGTATGTACTCTAACAGATGTTTGGAAAATATTTTAGTATTCACATCTGATTCAGGAGCAGGTAGTTTAGCAATAACTTTGAAGTCCGGCTTTGATTGCTGATAGAATGATGTTAATGATTTAGAAAGAGGTTTCATGGAGCACTTGGATGACCTGGCAATACAACCTATTTGTAAGGACACTTATGTAATTTAGGTATCCAATACAGTGAAGAAAGACCTGGTGCTTCATCTTTGGTTGACATTACAAAGGAACATAGAGCAGACCTATGAATATTTATTTACACACAAAAACAACGTTGTTTGGGGCTTTATTTACAGGAACAACAACATATCTATCAACATATCATGGAGGTAGGACAGGTGTTAGCAACATTTGGGTCTTTAAAGATGGATGTAGCATGTGAATTCATAGACCCATTCAGTTTTTTAATTCTAATTTGTATCGACGACCTCACAGCCTTAACCAATTTGGAACGAGTGTCTATGTCTTCTTTTTCGCGTTTAGCCTATTGTCTGGCATAATCCTTGACTAAATCCATCAGTACTTTGAGGTTGTATTTCCAACTGATGGATTTAGGCTCATGATATTTTGGACCTTTCGATAACACATTTTGCAGAGAAATGTTGTTAACAATGTTCAAATTTTGTACACCAAAAATGTACACAGTTACCAGTATTTCGAATTTAATTTATGGTAAACTATTTTGATTATATTTCACATGGCATAACTGTTAGTTGATCATATGTTTATATTTCTATACATTCAAATTCAATGACTATAAATTTATTGAGAAATGTTACCTCAAATGTGAGTTTATTTTGTTTCATATCTGAGAAGGACCATTTCTCTTCAACAACTTTTGTTAAATAGTCTTCTACAAACATTATGGTCTGTGAAAATCTTGGCTTAACCTTTTCCTTTTCTGGATCTTTGCTGACATTTGATTCATAGCTGGAAAAAAAATCAAAGATTGACATTAGATTATCAATCTTTTTCTCTAATTTACATAACATATCCTACAAACATTTTAGATGAAGTATATTCTGCTAGATTTTACAAAGATTAAATTGTGATCACTGAAGTATTTTCCTTCCACTGGCACTTTTGTTATACACTACACCAATGAAATGACAGAACCTACAGGGAAAAAGTGAAGATCCAAAAAGCCAAAGCCTTTGGACTCAAACATGCTGAGTAACAGTTTACAGCACCCATCCATTACAAAGAAAATTATACATATATATGTTCTAGGGCATTCACATAGTGCAGGCGGTATTGCCATGATGTCACAGAAGCAAGGGTTAGAATCCCACCAAGGAAAGAACAAAAAATTTGCAAACACAAATTTGCAGATCATACATATTTGGGCTATTAAGTTTGAGACGAATTATCTATATAAGTGCCTAGAAAATCAACCTAACAATGTTAGAGTAGATCTGATTCTTTACTTCCTCCCCAAACGGGGCTGTAACCTTTACCTTTTCTTTTAACTTCTATGGCAACACCGCCCAGCATTGCAAAGCTGCCTTATCCCCTCCTCTTGAACTACAGCTGATAAAATCAGTTTCATTTTGGAAGATGTTACATTCTTGTCATATAATTTTGTAGTGTAGTTAACAGACTAGAATCTTGACACTTAATAGTGAACAGAAACAAACTGAACTTTAAAGAAAATAAGCTTATTCCTGACTTCATAAATATATTTAACATTTCTGACATACTCTCAATTCATAAATTATTGCGATGATTTTATAAATGTGACAAAAATGTGACAGTATCAGTTTCACAATAATAATAAACTGCTTCGCTGAGCGCAGCTGGATACGCCTGCAGAGGTCCAACCCTGAACAGTTGGGGCAAAAATGGACACAATATACAAGCTTGATACAGGTCTGAATTTGGATTGTAATTAAATATTTGATATAATATAGGTTTCTGAATAAATGTAGATAAAGAACTTGAAATTGGTTATATGAAAGATTTCTTGCTGTTGTGCAATTCACTGTGCTGTTGCGCAATACTTAGTAAATCTGTTGTCAGACTATAAACAAATAAAATCTTATAACTCTGAAATGTAAAATCGAAAATTTATAAAAATCAAAAGGGAGCTTACAAAAATAGATATAAACAATTTACCAAAGTCTCATAAAAAATGCTGAAAGCATTTTTGAATTATTGTCTGAAAACTGGAAAATCCCCTTTTTTGTAATGAATAAAACTCCATAAATATATATTCTGAAATTTATAAAAATTAAAAGGGAGCTCATGTCGATAGAAATAAACAATTCACCAAAGTTTCTTGCAAATTGGTGTTTTTGAGTTATTGTCTGAAAACTGGAAAATCCCCCCTTTTTTAATGAATAAACGGGCGTATAAAAACTTACATCATAATTTAAGTAGTGATTTTCCTTCACAAAGTTTGGCAATCACATTAATTAGATCTAGCATTGTTACCAGTAATCAGGGATTCACAATAAGAAAAGTACACACATTAATTTCTGAATTTACAGTAGTTAATACCACTAATATCATAAGTTTTGTCACAACTTTCATCTAACATCTCATTTTATCAGACGTCATAATTTATAATTCAGTTAAATCTGAAAAGTACCATCTATGTCTTCATAACCAACTATATCAGTCCTATCAGGACCGATAACTCTGTCGATAAATATTGGCGGGTATACAATGTTGTTGAAATAGATATAAGAAGATGTGGTATGAGTGCCAATGAGACAACTCTCCATCCAAGTCAAAATTTATAAAAGTAAACCATTATAGGTCACAGTACGGTCTACAATAACACCTTTTTGTACACAAGTTAAAATTTCAATATCGATTTTTTTTTTTATGCCTGGATTTTGCTTAAAATATTGAATTAAGAAAATAAATGACAAAAATCATATGTAATGAAGTCTCGTTTAATTTTCTATGAAATAAAAAAATCTATTAAATATAAAATTTGAATCAGAGTATTTCTTTAAAACAATTACCGTGAAACAATAATATTTGATTTATTTTTTTTAAAGCAAAAATCAACTTATCGAAGAATTTTTCATAATATTCATATCTTCTTAAAGTTCTTTATGATGTATATTTCTTCAGTTGTGTACACGGGAAAGAGAAATTTTGTTTGTACATTTCAGAATACTTTTGTATATCACAAAATCTAAACTCTGGAAATACATGTATAAACAGGGATGTTAATGTCACCTGGTGGCTTTTGGTTTGACATGATTCCTTTACATTACCTGACAATTTGTTGTTATGTAACATTATAACCTAAATCCGAGTTCACCTGTTCGTCAAGGGACATTCAATTTTAAAGGTACAGAACATTTATCTATTGTTGGGCATTATTTTTTTCTCTCGAGACGAAAACATTTTTTTCCTAAAAAGAATATATATATATTTTTCTAAATAAAGATAAATTATACAGAAAAAAGTGAAAAAACCTTTAAAAAAAAGTGAAAAAATAATTTTATTATTAATTTCAGTGTTAATTTTTTTCTGGGAACAGTATATATCCTTGGAACAATATATCTGTCAAAATAAATGTTCCTGTTATTTTTTTCACATCGCACTTGAAATAATTTATTTTTTATCAAGAAATTTTGAAATCAAACATATCAAAATATCAACAAAGAAAATAAAAGAAACAGCACAGATTCTGCATGAAAAATACACGATGATTAAAAATACATGCGACATTTCTAAACACATCTGCCATTTTGAAAAATCTTGAAAAATCACTTTTTTAAATCGATGTGGGACGTAATTTGCCCTAAAATTAAACTGTTTTAAGTAGAATATTTCGCCAGATATATGTTTTAATATTCACAATCGAGTTGCAAAGTATTACTTTTATTTACAGACTTTGTGAATTTGACGTACAAGTCGACATGGGGTCGCTAGATTTACCATTGAGTCCACAGGGAAATGACGAGAAAAAGTACGATTTTTACGAATCTCCAGGGACATTTTTTAATCAAAAATTAAACTGTCAGAACCAACATTTTTAGGTAGAATTATGTTCGAATACCAAGGATATAGTTGCAAAAGTTAGAAAACGGGTCAGGTTAATGAGAAAATTGAACTTCATTGAAGCACCTATGCAATTTATATGGGACAAAATGACTCAAAATGGCGGCTCGCTATACGTCACCAAAGTCACGTGATGTCTTAATTAGTTGGATAAGTGCTTCATACTTCAAAATTTGGAAAACATTTTTGAAATTTGATAAAAGTGAGTAAATTGAAAACACCTAAAATGGAACTATCATTTATCTTATAAGAGTTGCATTAATATATAGATGATTTAAAGATTTATTTGTAAAATGCAATTTTCATAAAGAAAATAAGAAAAAGCCAAAACAAAATGCTACTCATGCTAAACAAGAGGCTCAAAGGAACCTGGTTTTATTTTGCCCAAACAGCAAAACTAGGCTTTTCGTCACAACTGAAGTAATAACATATGGAATATATCAGGCAAGCTTGGTTTCAATTGGTTCAGCCTTTCTCAAGAACAACTTTTCATAACTTTAGTCAATCAGAAATTAGAAAAGGACATGGTTCCCATGTTTGTTGACAAAATGGCACCAAAGCAACAACATTGTAAAGAACCTTAATAGAAACATTGAATGCCACAGCTATCTTATGTGGCACTCTGACATTACGTGATGTGGTTTTATCATTACTTGAAGATATTTTGTTATAATATGATAAGGATTTGACATTTCTTAAATGTTTTGATATTACTCAATATGGTATCGTCATTACTTAACATGCCTAATGATGTAATGTGGTTTTAACATTACTTGATTTGTGTGTGGCTTTACCTTATGTAGTTGTTTCATTACATTAATTGATAAGACTTTATCACTTTTCAATGTTGTAATGACGTTACTCAATGTGGTTTTAATATTGATCTATGTGGATTTAACGATTTTGATCAGGCTTTAACATTACATGTTGTTCGTATTTAAATTTTTAATACATGGTTTCACATAATGTCAGAGCACCTCATAAGACAGCTGTGGATTCCACAAGAACATCTCTGCCATGTTTTGATTCATTCTGTTCAGTGTAAATGGATCTAAAGAAGAAGTTCAAAAGGAGAAAAGGACAGACAACAGATGCTGAGTGATGGCAAAAGCTCAAATGACCTTTGACCAGGTGATCTAAAAATTATTTTCAACTGCAGAAATAAAGTTTTGACTCTTAGCATCATGTTGTTATTCATTCTGTTTGTAATATTCATAAAATAAAACTCTAAATAAGAGTGCACATGCTGAAATGTCTTGCCTGCTTTACTTATCATGAATGAATTTATGTTGAAAGCCTGAAGTATGAAGGTTTTACTACAAGTTTCACATAAATTTAACATTATCAATGATACATGTAAATGAGGTCAAGGTCAGATAAACTCTGCCAGACAGACATGTACACCTTACAATCATACCATACACCAAATATAGTTAGCCTATTGCTAATAGTATCTGAGAACAGACCTGATTACGAAAAAATTGAACATTGACCAATGAACAATAGAAATGAGGGCAAGGTCAGATGAACCCTGCAAGACAACATGTACACCATGAAATCATGCAATACACTCAATTTAATGTTGACCTTTTCCTTATAGTATCTGAGAAACAGACATAACCATGAAAATGTAAATGAGGTCCAAGTCAGATGAACCCTGTCAGTTGGTTTATTTCTTGAGTACTAGAAAAGGCAGATTATAAACAGCTGTGTTATGGATGACACAGTCAACCATTGTAGACTTGTATTGTACGGTCCCACATCCTGTTCATAGGAACTTCATACTTATATCTAGGAATTACACAAGGTCATGTTTTTTTCTCAGACTGTTTACAATGTCTTGATACTTAATCGACTGGATATGTTCTGATTGATATTTTAGTCTAGGAAACATGATTTATTTATTATTTGTACAAGCATTCATTAACTGTGAATACTCTCAGATAGGTACTTTGGGTCTTTAATCTTTTTGAGAGTTGGATTTTGTGCTTTTTGTGAATCTGATGAGTCAAGCCTTTTTTAACTTATTTTTACAGTTTGTTCTTATGTTGAGCTGTTACCCACTGTCCAAGGTTGGGGAGGGTTGAGCTCTTGCAAACATGTTTAACACCACCACATTCTGTAAGTCAAACTTAAGTCATGCTCATAAACTCAATGGACTCATGCTCACTTATCAAATGCTATGTCTAATAATATTTTGTTAATGAGTAACATACTTCTCACTGCTAGCTGCATGTACATCATACCTATATATACAAGATAACACCACAAAAACTGGTATTAGTTCTTTACTTGATGATTGTTTAGATTAATTCATTAAGCATCATTTTACATAACACAATTGTGTCAGACATAACATCTTATCTTAGACATTCTGCAGCAAATCACTGAATAAAGCTCATCAAAAAAGTTTTCAAATAACATACAGTTAATAAGGCATGAAAGTAAATAAAAGCTAATATTGTGAATGACTTTTTATCATGAAGTTATTTAATACACTTAAACCTTACAGGACATCATACATCCTATATATCATGCATTACACATGAAATAAAATTGATTGACATATGAACTTAATGAATCAAAGCCAAAGAAACATTACAGTGGTCATCCATAAATATCTTGCCTGTACTTATCTTTCTCACACTAAGTATGATTGTGACCAGGTAAGATCCAGATGCTTATTTATTACATTTTGTAAACAAGAGGCTCCAAGGAGCATGTATTACTCACTCTGCATTTTTGTATAACATTGTCAACAAGTTTTTCTATGACATTTATAATAACAGCAAAATATTATTTGGTGTAAGTTAGTCACTCATATATCAATGTTTAACATGGAAAGAGATACAAACAGAATTTGGCAGTTTTTGCATTTTCTGTAAATGCACAGTTTGAATGCCTTCAACAAATGTCAGACAAATACATCAATACCAATACCTCACAGTCTAATGTCTTGTTAACTACTGTAGAAAAAATTGAATATGTTTATTATACTTTCTGAATTTCATATTCACCAGGACAAAATTGGCCTAATCATACCTTTGTAAAAACTTATATAAAACACAATGACATGGTAATTTTAAAAGGCAAAAATTACCATATCCATGAGGATATATACAAAGTTTCGTTGAGAAAAAATCATTAATTTCAAATTGCAGATTTATTCTGATAGAAAAATGTTCAAAGCTCTATTTAAATGAAATCCTAATTCTTAAAAGAAGCACTAAGGGTTCTATTTGGGCTAAAAATTGAAGTATTATGTACTAATTTTGTGATTTTGCAAAAAGATAATATGTATGTAAAATGTTTAAACAGTAAAGAATTTCAAATATTATGAATATGCATTGAAATTTTACAGTCAGAAGATAATATAAATTAAATTTTTCTATATCCTCGTGTATTGTATTTTCGACCTACTAACATATTTCTCCGAATTTCCCTTTTATATGTTTGAACATATAGACATGCCTAATATTTTGAGAGTCACTAGTATACTTGTGCATAAAATAATTGTATCTGAAATATATTTCGATTTTAAATTATTTTTTTTATTTGAGTTCATTAGATCGATGGCACGTTTGTTGACAAAAAATAGCGTTTTGTGTTTTCGACCTAGCTAAGAAACTGGTCCAAAGTCGGAAGGGACATGTCGTTTATATCTTTATTTGACTAGTTGTACACATTTCACATGAGGCACTTTATAGGTTACAATACACCATTAGATTTTATGGGCGCAGCCATTTTATGAGCATAACATGGTATTCAGAATTAAGAGTATAGCTAATCCTGATTGGTTGATATGTGCGCCCGTTATTTTTTGTTATTAGAGACTTCGTGCATTCTGCATTATACCAAAGGCCAAATAAATTATTTTCCTTAGCCCTAACGGAACTGAGATGTCTTTTAAACGCTAGGATGAGACACGTATTTTTAAGTGCAAAATTGATAGGCATGGGAGATAAGTACAAATTACGCTAAGAAAAGCAACGCGAACCTATATTTTTTGGACCAAAAAATACTGTCCTAATAACTTTTCTTTAATTCTAGCAAGGTTTTGTTAAAAAAATCAACTTTCTGAAGTCTGTATCTCGAAAAAGGCTATCATTGTCGCCTATGGGGAAATTAATTGTTTATTTCAATCTATACAGCGTCGACATTTCTTTATCATAGTGCTCAAAAAGTGTCAAAAACAGTAATTTTACTTGATATTTGATGTGAAACCGTATTTTTTGGTGACAAATGAATTATTGATTAACTAGTCTTTAAGCTATAGTCCGTTTCATTTTTGTATTGCGTTTTACCTTAGAAACAAGGGTGGGTTCAACTTTTGACTTACTGTGAAGAGACTATGTCATTTTCTGAACTTCTGCTGATTTGTTTGAAAAAAGCACGTACACGTCTAGAGTTTGGATACACAAATCGATTTTTAAACATGACAATCTCGATCCAAGTGCTGTTATCGAAATTACTAAATTCAGTGAAAATGTACAGAAATGATCCCCTTCGAACATTGAAATGTTCACTCGAATGACAGACTATAAAAAAAAGAATGGGCATGACATTTTGTAGTTAACGAATAGTTTTCGATGTTTAAACACAAATATTTACACATTTTTCATATTTTGAAGTGCTATAGTCTGTTTCAAAAATGTACTTTTATACGAAAATGGTTTCATTTAAAACTGTTGTTCAAAATTCACCGTAGTAGTTACATATTGGATCCGTTTTGGTATCAATATAATCAGTACTTGATGACATACAAAGAATCATTGGAGAAAGTGGACATAATCTTCAGGCCCTTTTTAGCAGTACCGCATTTACTCAAAAAATCTGAAAAATTTTTTTCCCATTTTTTGACTGGGGTCACCTCTGATAAAAAATTGTGAAAATTCAGAGAGTAATGCCAGAACGTTTTGAAGATGATTTTTGTGTGGCATATATATTTGTGCATCTAACGAACTATGAATTGCATGATTCTAGAAAGTATTAAATACCGTATAGGTTACAATACACCATTAGATTTTATGGGCGCAGCCATTTTATGAGCATAACATGGTATTCAGAATTAAGAGTATAGCTAATCCTGATTGGTTGATATGTGCGCCCGTTATTTTTTGTTATTAGAGACTTCGTGCATTCTGCATTATACCAAAGGCCAAATAAATTATTTTCCTTAGCCCTAACGGAACTGAGATGTCTTTTAAACGCTAGGATGAGACACGTATTTTTAAGTGCAAAATTGATAGGCATGGGAGATAAGTACAAATTACGCTAAGAAAAGCAACATGAACCTATATTTTTTGGACCAAAAAATACTGTCCTAATAACTTTTCTTTAATTCTAGCAAGGTTTTGTTAAAAAAATCAACTTTCTGAAGTCTGTATCTCGAAAAAGGCTATCATTGTCGCCTATGGGGAAATTAATTGTTTATTTCAATCTGGAAGCAAGTTTGATCTTGTATACAGTCATTTTTTTGTTCAATACTTTAGTGAAGGCATTGTGGAGTGAGTATTATCTGTATTTCCACTGACAGACTGTTGTTTCTGTAAATTAAAATTAATCGATATTTTATTTTTTTAGTAAAAAGCTGTAAGGATCATGCAGATTTCCGTATTAAAAATAACTTTAAGTATTACAACTAACCACCTGACAGTCATGTGACTTAATGACCTGGATGTAAACTTCTCGTGCAAAAAGTCCCCCTGCCATATTTCTAGAATATTTGTTTATTTTTTATAGATTCTTTTTGAAGGTAAAAATAGTATTAGTAAAAGGGTACACAAATGTGATATCAAATAATAAAACGTAAATACTTAATTCCATTAACTTTACTTGGAACATCTTAACCACCACAAGGTATTATTTGATATTGCTACTTACTATAGCAGCCGAATATGACGTCACATGGACATGCGCAGCATACAGGAAGTGAACGTAGAATTAGGTCGAAAACATAAGACGGTCGAAAACACAATACGAGACGATATAAAATGAAAAAAAATGTATATTTTGACACACACTTAGGAGAGGAAAATATGAAGCACATATAAAATAATTATATTAACATGACAGTTGTTGTTCAGATAGACAAACAAGAATACATGTTTTGTTGTGGTAATTTAAAGTATCAGAAAACAATAGGCAGGTGTCTGACAGATTAAACAAGAGAATCTCAAGAGCCTGAATTTTTCACCTGGTTAAAAATATGACATTTTGATATTTTTTTTCTTTATTGCAATCAGTAAAGGTTGCTTATTTGTAGATGTTATTAAGTAGCATTTTTGAAGGTCTTGTATTGATAATATTTTTTTACTGTTTACAATTTATACCTATCTATTTAAGTTTTTGAGAGTTTTTTTTTAAAACAGCATTTAATGGCAATAAATCCTATAACTAGTGTGAAAATTTGGCCATGTTGACTTCCTTTTAGATCTTATTTTGCTGATCTTTATTGCGTAATCCATCTAATGTCAAATCAGCATTTAGGTCATGAAATATTTTTTTACAGAAATAATTTTGGCCGTTTCATTGATGATCAGTTTTTTAATTGCCTTTTAGCACTATTTTCTTTGTTTTGCATTGCTTTTCTGGTAAAAAGTCTGCCACTCAGGTATAGTATGATAACGCTGAGGTCCATCCTAATTACTCTATTAATGCCTACGGGAGATATTCGCTAATTATAGCTTACCTGTGTTGTCATAGGTATCTGACAGTAGTGATCAAGCTCAGAACTAATATTATAAAGAAATTCTATTCCTTGACAAGTTACTTCATTATCTAATAACTTTTCAGCAAAGACAATCGCCAATTCCTGAGAAATGTACAGTTTTTATTCATTAAAACTCTTTTGATTTTAATCCATTGCATTCCATAAATTGTTCTTGAATGTTTTTAGAAATTTCATGAAGAATAAAATGCTTCGCTGGGGCGCAGCTTGATACGACTGCAGAGGTCGAACCCTGAACAGTTGGGGCAAGTATGGACACAACATTCAAGCTTGATACAGCTCTGAATTTGGATTGTTATTAAATATTTGACACAGCATAGGTTTCTGACACAGAAAGAATGTGGTCTAAAAACTTGAATTTTTTTAATTTACCTATTATGGTCCAATGTCCAAAATCAAAATACATGGTTAGATTCAGCATATCAAAGAACCCCATATATTCAATTTTTGTTAAAATCAAACAAAGTGTAATTTTGGACCCCAACTTGGACAAACTTGAAAACTGGGCCCATAATCAAAAATCTAAACACATGTTTAGATTCAGCATATCAAAGAACCCCAAGAATTCAATTTTTGCTAAAATCAAACTAAGTTTAATTTTGGACCCTTTGGACCTTAATGTAGACCAATTTAAAAAACGGGACTTAAAATTAAAAATCTAAATACACGGTTAGATTTGGAATATCAAAGAACCCCAATAATTCAATTTTTGATAAAATCAAACAAAGTTTAATTTTGGACCCTTTTGACCTCAATATGAACCAATTTGATAGCGGGGCCCACAAATAAAAAATCTAAATTCATGGTTAGATTCAGCATATCAAAGAACCCCATATATTCAATTTTTGTTGAAATCAAACAAAGTGTAATTTTGGACCCCAACTTGGACCAACTTGAAAACTGGGCCCATAATCAAAAATCTAAACACATGTTTAGATTCAGCATATCAAAGAACCCCAAGAATTCAATTTTTGCTAAAATCAAACAAAGTTTAATTTTGGACCCTTTGGACCTTAATGTAGACCAATTTGAAAACTGGACCCAAAATTAAAAATCTAAATACACTGTTAGATTCGGCATAACAAAATAAATAAATGTGATCAAAGATTTTACAAATCTAATGCGCCATACTGTGCAATTAAAGATTACTTCTTGAAATTTTTCAATATTTGAAATTTGAAAAAAAAATAATATTTGAAGAATAATTCTTTTTAATTTCTGAAATCTGAAATGAGAAAAAATTGACCCCCCACAACTTCTTTTTATCCCCCCCCCCCCTTTTTTCCCCCAAAAAATTCTTTCCCTCATGATATGGTCATAATCTCAATTCAAATTTCCAATGGAGTTGGCAACCATAATTACCCATTTAAATTTACCATGGTGCTAACTTAATCTATTTTATAATAGAATTAATAAACTGCTTCGCTGAGCGCAGCTAGATACGCCCGCAGAGGTCCAACCCTGAACAGTTGGGGCAAAAATGGACACAATATTCAAGCTTGATTCAGGTCTGAATTTGGATTGTAATTAAATATTTGACATATTATAGGTTTCTGAATAAATGTAGTCAAAGAACTTGAAATTGGTTATATGAATTGAATTTATATTCAATTAAAGATTTCTTGCTGTTGTGCAATACTTAGTATATCTGTTTTCAGACTATAAACAAATAAAGTTCAATTTATTCTCAATGTCATATTAGAAATTTATGAAAATAAAAAGGGAGCTTACATCAATAGATATAAACAATTCACCAAACTTTCATGAGAATTGGTGACAGCAAATTTGAGTTATTGTCCAAAAACTGGAAAATCACCCCTTTTTTTAATGAATAAAACCCCATAACTCAGAAATGTAAAATGTAAAATTTATAAAATTCTAAAGGGAGCTTACATCAATACATACAAACAATTCACCAAATTTTCATAAGAATTGCTGAAAGCATTTTTGAGTTTTTGTCCGAAAACTGGAAAATCCCCCCCTTTTTTATGAATAAAACCCTGTAACTCGGAAACGTAAAATCTAAAATTTATAAAAATCAAAAGGGAGCCCATGTTAATAGATATAAACAATTCACCAAAGTTTCATGAGAATTGGTGACAGCAGTTTTGAGTTATTGTCCAAAAACTGGAAAATCACCCCTTTTTTTAATGAATAAAACCCCATAACTCAGAAATGTAAAATGTAAAATTTATAAAATTCTAAAGGGAGCTTACATCAATACATACAAACAATTCCCCAAATATTCATAAGAATTGCTGAAAGCATTTTTGAGTTTTTGTCCTAAAACTGGAAAATCCCCCCTTTTTTTATGAATAAAACCCTGTAACTCAGAAACGTAAAATCTAAAATTTATAAAAATCAAAAGGGAGCTCATGTCAACAGATATAAACAATTCACCACAATTTCTTGCAAGTTGGTGAAAGCATTCTTGACTTATTGTCCGAAAACTGGAAAATCCCCCTTTTTTTTAATGAATGAAACCCCATAACTTGGAAACGTAAAATCTAAATTTTATAAAAAACGAAAGGGAGCTCACGTCAATAGATATAAACAATTCACCAAAGTTTTATGCAAATTGGTTAAAGCATTTTTGAGTTAATGTCCGACATGTTGATGACGGACAGACGGACGGACAGACGGACGGACGGACGGACGGACAGACGGACAACGGTATACCATAATACGTCCCGTAAACGGGCGTATAAAAATATAGTGTCAAATCTTTCATATGGATTTTTTTGTAAAAAAAAAAAATGCAACATTTGCAGATATTTTTACTGGTCTTCCTTTATAAATATGCATTTCTTTAAACATAATTTAAAAGCAGTGTAAGGGAAGTAACCAAAACGTTGTATTTGGATTACCTCCCTTACACTGTTTTAGAATATCTTTATTGTTCATTAACCATTACTTTATACATAATTTAAAAGCAGTGTAAGGGAGATAATTTCAATGATGTATTTGATTTATCTCCCTTACACTGCTTTAAATTATGTTTTGTACTAAAGTATTTGTCCATTAACCAGGACAACCTTGTTTTCCCCCTTTTTTGCCCCTAATTCCTAAACGGTTTGAGCCATAACCCCCCAAAGCAAATCCTAACCATCCCTTTGTAGTATGGAAACTTGTAGTATAATTTCAGAGAGATCCATAAACCGTTCCACAGTTATTGTCTGGAAACTAGAAAATGCTTATTTTTGGCCCCTTTTTGGCCCCTAATTCCTTAACTGTTGGTACCATAACCCTCAAAATCAATCCCAACCTTCCTTTTGTGGTATTTAACCTTATGGTCAAATTTCAAAAAGATCCATTCACTTAAACTAAAGTTAGAGTGCGAAAACCAATGTGTCTTCGGACGACGACGACGCCGCCAACGTCATACCAATATACGACCACAAAATTTTTTTGCGGTCGTATAAAAATGAGGTGAAACCTTCAACATAACTTCATTAATGCCATGAATCAAGTATGAATTCGACAGTTTGAAAAAAGGACCATTACTTTCAAGTCATCTCAAAATGACCAAAATTAAATTTCTGGATTCTTGAATGCAATATAGCCCCTACTTCAGTTTAACCAGCTAATATTGTCTCAAGAAAAATCAGTAAAAAAAAACAACAAAATGATAATTTGAATGACTTACTCTTCTATTGAAATGGCAGTGGGAATTTCTGACCACAACCTTGCATATTTTACTGGCTTAATGATTTCCTGAGGGTCCCTGTCAACATGCATATGTAACATCAAACGACAGAATGAAGCTCGAAGATCAAATGGTAAAACATCATCTGACATACACCTGAAAAAAAAATTAAATTGTCGTCACTTACCTATCTTGCATATAAAATGAATGCGAGACCAAAAATTCAACATTAACATCAACAACTAAAACTAACATATATGAAAAGAATATGTCCTTGAACACATCTAACAAAACATGCTACAGTCGAACCTGTATTAAGCAGTCACTCTTGGGAAGTATTAAAAGTGACTGTTCAAGAGAGGTGACCTTTTAAATGAGGTTCGAAAAAAATTCTTATTCCGACATTGCCTATGGTCGGTATCTGGGCAAATTGTTTTAGTGTTATCAATCTGTAGAGTTATGGTTCTTGCGTCAGTAAATTAAATTATAGAGAATTCAGGCTGTAAATTTGAAGAAAACTTTCAAAATATTTTAATATTCGTGGAGAAATAAGTCGGTGACACGGTTTACAATGGAAACGGAAGGGAGTAGAACATGAGGAACTCACGAATTCACCTCATATTGCGCAATCTCGGTTGCAAACGGATTTCGATATTCATTTTGACTTCGATATTGAACACATTTATTTTTTGTCCTGATTATTTCAGTAGTTGAAAAATTAAAATGACCATTTTTAAAAGTTGAAATGGAGATTTCGTGCTACAAATAGGTGACCGCTGACCACGTTAGACAGGTGACAGCTGATTTGAGTTTAATTATATAGAGAAAACGTTTGGGAGAGTCTGAAAGTGGCCGTTGGAGGAAGATGACCGCTGAAAGAGGTGACCGTTAAGGCATGTTTGACTGTATTTTCAAAGGAGACAAGATACAATAGAAATTTATATATTTATCTGATACAGAAAGTAAATGGTCTGGATAGGCAAAGAATGAGTTTGTGAGCAGCTAGAACTGGTTCATACCCACCACTATTAATGCCCATGCCATGTGAGGCTGCCTAGAACATGTTTTTTGGGTTTTTTTTTTTTTGTATATCTATTTTTTTTTTTTGGAGGAGCTGGGTGTTCATGTTAGATGTGCCGTATTTTTGGTAAATACTATTATCCCTTTTTAAGTATTACATAGCTCTAGGGGGATATTTGTGAAGTGTGTTGACTTGAAACTCCACAAGTGTGTAGTGATCCTAAAATTTGTGTTTTTCAAATAATTTGTTACGGCATTCATGTCTTTTTAAGGTCAAGTTACAGTAAATGAGCTATGGCACAGATTAAATTTTGCTTACAACTTTGGCTCATTGAACTATTACTGAAAATTGAAAATAATGCATTTATCTACTGTAAATTCAGAAATTATTGCCAGATTTTTATTAATGCAAATAATACGACATCTTGAGTATCGCAATAATAAGAACTCATATTTTGATATCTGGTACATATATCTGCATGCAGCTTTTCCTAAAATCGCAATAATTAAACTCGCATTTTTGCTTATTTTTCAAAAATCGTTAACAATAAATACACGCAATAATTTCTAAATTAAAGTATTTTATTTTCTGCAATATCAACTGATTGAATTCTTTCAAAATAGGTGAAAAATGTTCTAAAATTTGTCTAAAAGTAATCAAATCTTCAATTTCAAATCTATCAATTTTCTTAAAACAAGAGTGCACATGCTGAAATTCCTGTTTAATTTATGATTGAATTTATGTTGAAAGTCTTTAATATGAAGGTTTCACTACAAGTATCACATAAGCTTAACATTATCAATGATCCATGACAATGAAGTCACAGTCAGATAAACCATGTTAGACAGACATGAACGCCTTACAATCATTCCATACATCAAATATAGTGGTTTTATAGCTTATAGTACCTGGGAAACAAATCAAACAACACAATCTTAACATTGACCATTGAACCATGAAAACAAGGTCAAGGTAATATGAACTCTGCCAGACAGACATGTACACTTACAAACATTTCATACACCAAACATAGTTGACCTATTGCTCATAGTAACTGATAAACTGACATAGCCACAAAAACCTTTCATTGACCAATGAACCATGAAAATGAGGTCAAGGTCATATGAAACCTGCCAGATAGAAATGTTCACCTTACAATTATTCCATACACCAAATATAATTGACCCATTGCTTATAATATCTGAGAAATAGACCATACTGCAAAACTAAATATTATCCAATGAACCATGAAAATGAGGTCATGGTCAGATGAAACATTCCAGTCAAACATTTACACCTTACAATCTTCCCAAACACCAAATATAGTTGACCTACTGCTTATAGTATCTCAGATTCAGACTTGACCACATAACTTTAATTTTGATCACTGATCCATGAAATGAAGTTGAGGTCAAGTTAAACCTACCTGACAGACATGTAAACCTTGCAAGGAACCCATTTACCAAATATAGTTATCCTAATATACATAATGAGAGAGTATTTCATTTAAGAAAAAAAACAGTTTTTTTTTCCAGCAGTCACTGAACCATGAAAATGAGGGCAAGGACAATGGACACATGACAGACGGAAACTTCGTTACATAAGGTATCTGGATACAAGGCATGGAGCATCCAGGTCTTCTAGCTTCTGAAATATAAAGCTTTAAACAAATGGTTCACGCTGGCAATGCTGACGGCAGATTGTAATTACCTATGTCTAGCAATCTGCCACTTTTGTTGCAGGCGAGACAAAAACTGTATGTTGTTGATACATAAATTTCCTGTTGTAATGAAAATAATAATAGGGTCAACAACTTTGCTTTCACAGTTTACATCATTGAAAGTGGTGTCAGGTGAAAAAATACCACAAAACATGGAAATAAAGGTAATGTCATCACCTTGTAAGCTGTTAAAAGTTGATTTTTGATGTTTTCAATACCAACTAGGTAACAGATTGGTTAATACACCAAAAAAGAAATAGGTGACCATATGATTATTTTATATCATTTAAACCAAAATTTATGTATCAACAACATATATTTTATTAAGAATAAATGGGGAATGTGTCCATGGGACACAGATGATGCCCCCGCTTGCATATAACCTTATAAAGGGATATAACTCAAGAACGGTAAAAGTGACTCTACCAAAATTCAAACTTGATCTGAGTTTTGTGGTAATAAGCATTGTCAATAAGTTTCATAATATTTGGTTGAGGCTAACTTAAGTTAGAGAACAGAAACCAAAAATTCAGCATTTTTTCCATTTCTAAAGGGACATATATCTAGAACGGTAAAAGTGGTACCACCAAAATGGGACTATTATACTAACGGGACTGGAAACCGTTACGCTGTTCAGTGTAGTTATACTCAAGATCACAGTCGTTAAAACGCGCGTGACGATACACCATATTGTTTTGACAGTGATACTGACAGAGTACTTGCTTGCATAATTTCTGTAAGTTGTTTTTATAGCTATTTACAAAGATAATCCTTTATGTAAACATGATTACAATTATGATAAAATATATTCCGATCGTTGACAGTTGTTATTAATCACCAAATCCCGCCTTAAATGTAAATAAAATGCTCCGCAGGGCGCAGCTTGATACGACGGCAGAGATCGAACCCTGAACAGTTGGGGCAAGTATGGACACAACATTCAAGCTTGATACAGCTTTGCATTTGGATTATGATTAAATATTTGACACAGCATAGGTTTCTGACACAGAATGAATGTGGTCTAAGAACTTAAAAATTTTAAATTGGACATTCACCTATCATGGTCCAATATCCAAAATCTAAATACATGGTTAGATTCAGCATATCAAAGAACCCCAAGAATTCAATTTTTGATGAAATCAAACAAAGTTTTATTTTGGACCCTTTTGACCTCAATGTGGACAAAATTGATAACGGGGCCCAAAAATCAAAAATCTAAATACATGGTTAGATTCAGCATATCAAAGAACCCCATATATTCAATTTTAGTTGAAATCAAACAAAGTTTAATTTTGGACCCCGATTTGGACCAACTTGAAAACTGGGCCCATAATCAAAAATCTAAATACATGTTTAGATTCAGCATATCAAAGAACCCTAAGAATTCAATTTTTGTTAAAATCAAACTAAGTTTTATTTTGGACCCTTTGGACCTTAATGTAGACCAATTTGAAAACGGAACCAAAAATTAAGAATCTAAATACACGGTTAGATTCAGCATATCAAAGAACCCAAATAATCCAATTTTTGATGAAATCAAACAAAGTTTAATTTTGGACCCTTTGGACCTCAATGTGGACCAATTTAAAAACGGGGCCCAAAATCCAAAAACTAAATACACGGTTAGATTCAGCATATTAAAGAACCCCAAGAATTCAAGAATAAAACCCCATTGAAATTGGTCAAGAAATAAGCAATTTATACGAAGTATCTTCTTTTGCACAATACTTGCAATTAAATATTTCTTGCTATTGCGCAATACTGTACAATTGACAATTTCTTGCTATTGCGCAATATTGTGCTATTGGATATTTCTTGCTATTGCGCAATACTGTGCAATTGAAGATGTCTTGCTATTGCGCAATACTGTGCAATTGAAGATTTCTTGCTATTGTGCAATACTGTGCAATTGAAAATTTCTTGCTATTGCACAATACTTATTATATAATAATTTACACATCCTGTTTGGTGTGTATCTCCTACCATATCATTATTATTTGCTTTTAAATATAAATCAGAAATAACCAACTTAAAATGGAAAATTTTAAAAGAAAAAAAAAAGGAAAAAAAAAAAATCCCCCCCCCCCCAAATTTTTTTTATGATTCATCACCCCCAAACTTAATCCTCACCTTCCCTTTGTGGTATGGTACCTTGCAGTACAATTTCAGAGAGATCCATACACTTGAACACAAGTTATTGTCTGGAAACTAGAAAAATGTGTTTTTTGGCCCCTTTTTGGCCCCCAATTCCTAAACGTTTCGGCAATTACCCCCAAACTCAATTCCAGCTTTCCCTTTGTGATATGGAACCTTGTAGTACAATTTCAGAAAGATCCATACACTTACACACAAGTTATTGTCATGAAACTAGAAAAATGCTTGTTTTTTGCCCCTTTTTTGGCCCCTAATTCCTAA